GGCAATATGCTCATTAAATTTTGTACATTTTTAATAAGAAAAATATCAATTAAATCTTCGAAAACTAGGTTCAACATTTACCCGTTAACTTGCTAACTGGATGTAATTTATGTCCATATCCTATGGCCTTTTTAAAATTGAGGTCAATATTTTAAAATTTACTTTCAAAGTTTTTTTTTAATAAAATAAACATCTTTGGGTGGGGGGAGGCAAGAGGAGGTAAAGGGAGGGTAAATGGTGAAGGAAAGAAACTTGACTTGGGGTGAATACAATGTACAAACGATATATTATAGAATTGCACACTTGAAACCTACATAATTTTATTAACCAATGTAACCCCAATAAATTCAATTTAAAAAAAGAAAACAGAAACATCTTCACCTTTTGCCTGTCTTCTTTATTCCAAATTTTATCAGTCTGTTGTTTGCCTTTTTAGTGATTTTTACAGGTGTTTTTTTTTAAAGAATTTTATTTTTTTTGCAATCCTTACCCAAAGATATTTTTTCCATTGCTTTTCAGAGAGTGGAAGGGAGGGAGAGAGAAACATCGATGTGAGAGAGACTGAGGTACGTGCCCTTGGCTGGAATCGAACCTAGGACCCTTCAGTCTGTAGGCTGACACTCTAACTACTGAGCCAAACCAGCCAGGGCTACAGTTTTTAATTTTCACATAATCATGTCTTTCCATCATTTTTTTTTCTTTCATCACTAAGCTTAGAAAGTATTGTTTATCAAATATCTCACAACTTCAGTTACCTTTGAACATGGAGAACTGGTAAGTTCTCTATTAACAAGTAGACTATTTAGGACATGCATGGCCACAGGCTGGTGTTAATATGGCTCAAGAGATAGAGGTTAGTCTGAATTTAAAAGGACATCAGGCCAGCTGGGCGTGGCTCAGCAGTTGAGCTTCGACCTAGGATCCCGGCTATCGGGGTTGATTCCCGGTCAGGGCACATGCCCGGGTTGCGGGCTCAATCTCCAGTCAGGGGCGTGCAGGAGGCAGCTGATCAATGACTCTCTCACCACTGATGTTTCTCTCTCTCTCTTTCTCTTCTGCCTTCTTCTCTCTGAAATCAATAAAGATATATTTAAATAAATAAATAAATAAGGACATCAGTCCTTGAATCTGAAAGTATCCTGTGCCTGGGCCATGTTTATCAGAGTTACAAAATATGAATATTGGAAGCCTTAGAAAGTGATAAATCTTGGGTTTTTGTTTTTTAAATTCAACATACAAGTATCAGCTTACAGAAAAGGCAAAATTAATTAGGAAAGTGTTTCTCACCAAAAGATGAGGTATTCATTTTTTCCACTGTTCGCCAAATGTTTCCTTAAAACAGCTTTCAAAATTTTGTCTATGAGCATTAGTAGAGAAGAGGTAGATTTTTAAAAACAGAACTTGTATTAGGAAAATTGAACTCAGAGATGTATAGAAACTGATATACAACTGCAGACTTCAGACATTTGGGCACCAAATTTTGATGAATGGTTGTTATTACTGCTGCTCTTGTGAACAGTTAATCTTGCTGAAATTCTCTTTGATTTCAATGGCCTCCAGGACATTTGGGAGTTAAGAGCTGTGCTGTCGAATACAGTAGCCAATAGGTACATATGGTTACTTGAAAATTTCAATTAAAAAATCTTTCACTTTAGTTCCTGTCATACTAGCCTCAAGTATTCAAGTTACATGTGGCTAGCAGCTCCCATACTGAACAGTGCAGATACAGAATGCCTGACCCTTACAAAAGCTTCTGTTGGGCAGCTTTGACTTATCTTTCAAAATATCTTCCAGACTGTTTCGCCACCACCTCAGCCCTATCTCACTGAGCCCTCTCCTCCAATTTTATTATTTCAGGTACATCCTTGCTCTCCTTGCAGCTCCACATTGACCCTTCTGAAAATGGGGCTTTTTACTCAACGTTTACTAAGTACAATGCACAGGAAAATGAGGCACGTAACTCAAGTCTGAATGTCACAGTTGGTGACATACGCAGCTCTGCCTTCACTCTGCTGTCACCATGCACCCATTCTGCCTACTGAGTCCCAAACTGCCCTGCCATTGATGATGAAGAGAGACCCAGAGCCACACGCAGACACATTGGTGATCAAGGTCTACTTTGGGCCTGCAACTTACCTAGGCCCATTTTTCATTGTGGAGTTGCATATAGGTATTTTTGTCCAGTCGGAGCTCCTTACAGCAACTCGAGGGCAGCAGCCACATTTTTCTTCAATATATTTCACAAGTTAAATGCCCTTTTAGTTCCATACTGATAACTGCTTTTATATAATACTAAATTACACCAACATGGGGACGGATCTTTGGCCCAAAACTCTCCCTAGGGGAAATTTGAATATGAACTAAATATTCAGTATCAGGAAATTCTTGTCGATGTTCCTAAGTCCAATACTGCTTACAGAGGAAAGTCAATTATGAAAAACACATGCTTAACTCTTTCAATAGTGTCACACTATCTGCTTTCAAATGCTTCATAGCAAATATATATTACAGATAAAGCAAATATTACAAATGTTGTTAAATGTAAGTAATGAACATATAGATGATCAATGTACTAGTCTTTCAGCTTTTCTGTATGTTTAAAATTTTTCATAATTAAAAGTTGAAAATATATATATCATATTTTATTTACCTATTCACCAGTTTGTGGGCATTTGGATTGTTTTTGGCTACTATGTTTTTGGCTACATTGATTATTCACATACAAGTCTATGTAGGCTTCAATGGTTTTATAAATAAGCTTAAAACATTAATAATGTTAAAAGAAATGACTTGTAGTCAGGTTGCATCTGGTAATGCCATTTTTCAAGCCTCAAGTTTAACAAATTTCAATAAAACCAGAATGACTAGAATTTTCAGAAAAGGTTCTTCTGCTAGCTTTCTGGTGAAGTGAGGGCTAGACATGATACCTTTTTGTTTTGTTTCATGTGTCCCCGAATTCTGCTTTTGCATAGTACACAATAAACCTAAAAATGTTTCACAGATAATTGAAGATTTTGCAGGGTCTCCTGCTGCCCAGACTGCAGAGAACAATGCCCAGCAGAATGTGCTCACTAGGTTCTGGATCTAGAACATAGCATGAGGTGGCTTTTACAAGTAATTCCCTAGATTGAGTTATTTTTTAAAGTCTGCTTCTAGTCATCTTACAATTAATTAGTGCCTAACTATACTCCGGGCACTTTACATCCTTTCTTACTGTCATGTAGCTCACAGACTCCTGGCACACAAGTGGACACACCAGTGAAGATGGTGGCACTGCACTGCTCTAGCCAGGTAGCACACGTACCTGGACTGTAACTCAGGCCTGCTTTCCAGGTCTGTTCTTTCTATTCTGCTGCTAGGTGCCATGTAACTGCCTCTCTTAAAAGGAAATTCTGGAGACTTAAGGAACAAGCAATTTGGTTTTCATAGTCTGGTATTAGTACCAGTTGATATGCTACCAAATTCTTGCACGAATTTCTATGAAGCTGATTTATCACCTTTGTATACCTGCTCACCTACTGAGCATAATAATAACTAACATTTATTGGGACATAATATATGTCAGATACCAATAGGCTGCTTTTAATATTTTCTCTTTCGATTTTCTCAACATTATGATTAGATAGATACTAATATTATCCACATTTCACAACTGAGAACACTGATGAGCCCAAGGATGAAAACATTATTTCCTTCATTTTTTTTAAATTGAGGAGTAACTGTCATTTCCTTCTAAAATAAGTTTTTATTGATTTTAGAGACAGGAGGGAAAAGGGAGAAACATAGAAACATCGATTGGCTGCCTCCTCCACGCCCCCTACTGGGGGTCAAACATGGACCCAGGGCATGTCCCCTGGGTTGCCAGCTCAATCCCAGGCAGGGGGCCTGCAAGAGGCAGCCAATAGATGATGTTTCTCTCTCATTGATGTTTCTCTCTCTACCCCCCTTCCTCACTCTAAAATCAATAAAAACATTAAAAAATAACATGATTTTTTTTTTCTTAGCAGCTAATATAAAACTATCTTGACCTTTAAAGCCAACTTTGTTCTTTCCTTAACCTCCTCCTTGGATCATGAATTCATTCAGAGCCAACAAGTGTTAAACAAAAAACAAATTGTGAAGAAAACAGGCATATTCTTCTTCATAAAAATCAAAACTAAAATGTTTTCCCCAACTGGTGTCAGACTGAGTGATTTCACTGCAGTGACTCAGGAAGGGGTGGGCTCCCTCCTTCCAAATCACTCCCATCAGATAACACCTGTTGCCAAGCAGCAAGCCAGAGTTTGGATGGGATGCCACATACAAGGAGATTTCAAAGTGTTCAGACCTTCACATCTGACATGAAGGGAAGTGACAAAGTACTTTAATTTGGGAGTGACAAAGTACTTTAGGATCACTTACTCCAAAACTACACCCTACAACAATGCAAGAAAACAGGCTACATACCTGTCTACCTCAAGGCTGTGGGCTCCACAATACTCAGCAGTTATCCTCAGACATAACTGCTTTCCATGGTGAGCTTCTTTCTGTCTGCTGGGTTAAGCACTATGATTCCAGGCTCTCTCATGGTCATTAACAATACCATGCTATCTTCAAGAATTTAAAACAATGATACAGGTCTGGTTTAATCCTTCCTTTTGCACTTAGATAAGACTGTTGTTTCCCATACCAGGTTTTTGTTTTTTTGGTTTTGTTTTGTTAAATATATTTTTATTGATTTCAAGGAGAAAAAGAGACAGAAACATCAATGATGAGTCACTGATCAGCTGCCTCCTGCACACCCCCTACTGGGGATCAAGCCCCACAACCTGGGCATGTGCCCTGACCAGGAACTGAACCTTGATCTCCTGGATCATAAGTCGATGCTCAACCGCTGACCCACACCAGCTGGGCTCCCATACCAGTTTTACATGTTCTAGTACAGTTTCAAAAACTATAAACACACTGAAATCAAAACATGAAATACTAGGAATAAAAAATAACACAGGGGTCAAAAACCATGGTATGAGGCAGTCAACAGCATAGTTTATATGCACATCACCCCACCTCACCCTTTCCAGAGGCAAGTTTATGAAGCCACAAGGAGTCGCTGCAAGGCCTCTCCAAGATTACACGGTTATCATGATCTAACTGTCAAGTCTGAAATAGCAACTCAAACCAAGACCAAGCTGGGTTGTTGTATCCAAAAGAAGTCCCAGTGTCTTCTATGATCCTGGGAGACAGTAGTGCCATGCTGGGACATGACTCCCTCAGCAGCAGAGTGATGTTAGAGATTAATACTGAAAGCTGCGCTTGGTCTGGATATCATCAAGAATCTGCTGCAGTTCCTCATCTTCAAATCGCCCCTCCAAGCTACAAAAAAAAAACCAAGAAACGAGTGTCTCAGCAACAGACAATGTTTCCCACACTCATCTTTAACGTATGCCAATATTTGAGCACAGCTGCCCAACTCTCCATTTATCCCTAAACACAGACACTTTTTTTTACCTTTCAATATTACCTACCATTCCTTTCAAAAACATTATGAAGTATTTCAAACATACAAAGGTATAGAAAATAAGTTAACCTTAATAGTTACCCTTATTTGATTCAGATTTCTTAATAAACATAACAGGAACAAATTGATGACTGTGCATACTCCCCCATCCCAACACCTTCACCTCCCCCCTTCACCAGAAGTAACCATTATCCTAAATTTGGTATTTATCATCCCTATAAATATTTTTCTACTTAATATATGTACATGTAAAGATATCTATAAGTAATATACAGCACTGTTTTTAAACTTTATAAGAAACAACATCAACCAGCCTGTGTGGCTCAGTGGCTGAGTGTTGACCCACACACCAGGAAGGAGGTTGCCGGTTTGATTCCTGGTCTGGGCATATGCCCAGGTTGTGGGCTCAATCCCCAGTGGAGGGGGGGTGCCAGAGGCAACTGATCTGTTTTTCTCTCCCTCTCCCTTCCTCTCTCTGAAATCAATAAAAACATTTTTTTAAAATTTTTAAAAAGAAATGGCATCATACTGTATCTTTCCGCACTTTTTTGGCTCAAAATTCATTCTGCATGTGTTGACATTATTCCACGTTGTTCTAGCTCATTGATTTTTTCACTGCTATATAATAAACACTGTCTGATCATATAATGACTTATTTTTCCAGTCTCTTGTTGATGGTCATGTTTCTGCTATCACTAACAATGCAGCAATGGACACTGAGATACATATCTACTTTCAGACTGTAAGAGTGGCATGTATCCAGGAATAAATTTGGGGGTAATGAGGAATATCCATCTTTAACTTTACTAGATGTAGCCAAAGTAACTGCACTGATTTGCAGCCTACCACCAGAGTATGAGAATTTCAGCTATTCTACATTTATACTAACAGTTGGTGTGCTACAAAATCATCCTCACACTGTTAAGAAAGGCCCTCTCATTCAATGTTTGTATCTATCCAGATTTTAAATGCACTCACTTTTTAGACACAGCAATTCTATATGTAGGAATATGTCCAAAACACATAGAATTTACCATCCCCAGCACTAACCTTGGGATCAGAGCCTTGGACTCCTCAGCAGTCTCTGGACAAAGGTTGGCCAAACAGGCCAACTCAAACTTATGAAGCTTCTTCTGAAGCAACAAGCTGATCATAAGGAAGAAAATCAAAACAAAACAAAACATAATTAAAGAAGGATGAATAGGGAAAGGGGATCAATTGCAGCACGGAAGAGGAAAGGAAAGCACTGCAGTCTTTCCACAATGGTCAGGGTGGCTACAAAATCTCACCTTCAAATCACTTCTTCCCCTATTCCCAGAGAACAGGAAGTTACAACAAAATCAGGCAGGCAATGAACCTTAAGAGAGTACATTCAGCCCGGCCAGGCATGGCTCAGCAGTTGAGCATCGACCTAGGATCCAGGAGATTTCAGTTCGATTCCCAGCCAGGGCACAAGCCCGGGATGTGGGCTAGATCCCCAGTTGGGGATGGTGCAGGAGGCAGCAGACCAATGACTCTCTCTCACTGATGTTTCAAATCTCTCTCCCTCTCTCTGAAATCAATAAAGATAAATTTGGGGGGTAAAAAAAACGAGCACACACTCAGGCAGAGAAGCCCTACTATAACAACTTTTAAGAAACTACAGTATTCCTCAAGGACCACACCACCTTTCCCCGGGAATTTATTTTGTTGCCCTCTGCTCTTCCCACCACACTTCCTTGCTTCCTTTGTTATTAATTTTATGTTAAACTCATGATGTTAGATGTCCCCAATCTATTAGGTATTTGACTTGGAGAAAAGTCTTTTAAATTTATCAAAAAAAAAAAAATACAGGCATATCTTACTTTGGACAAATATATAGGTAAACTGCATCTTATTTTAAATGTCAAACTGTATAAAAGAACAGCCAATGCCCTGGCCGGTGACTCTCACTGGCTAGAGTAGAGGGTTGGCCCACATACCAAAGGATCAAGGGTTTGATTCCGGGTCAAGGACAGCTACCTGGGTTGCAGGTTCAATCCCTGGCCCCGGTCGGGTTGAGGCAACCAATCGATGTGTCTCTTTAACATCAATGTTTCTCTCTCTCTCTCCCCCTCCTCTCTAAAAAAAAAATCAATGAAAAAAATATCCCTGTGTGACAATTAACAACAAAAAAAGAACAGCCAACGCAAATCATATCTACCTCTTAAAATAGAGCTCACTGCCCTGTCTGGTGTGGCATGGTTCACTGGGCATCATACATGTACTAAAAGGTTGCTGGTTCAATTCCTGGTCTGGGCACATGTCCCAGTTGTGGGCTCAGTCCCCAGTGAGGAGTGTTCAGGAGGCAGCTGATCAATGTTTCACTCTCATATCGATGTTTCTCTCTCTCTCTCTAAAAACCAATTAAAAAAATCTTTAAAAATATATAAATAAATAAAAAATAAAAGAGCTCATCAATAGTAAATGTGGTTTCAGAGAAAACTTATTTAGAAAGAAAACACACCATCTTAGTATATCATTCTAAACAATTTTCTGTTTGAGAATATAAACTCACACATTCTGTTTTGTAACTCTTTGTCACTTAAAGCTATTTTCATTTTGTAAAGAAAATACAGTAAACTTAGCCATTTTTCTTTTGTTTTTTTTTTGGTTAATCCGCACCAGATTATATTTTTTTCCACTGCTTTTCAGAGAGAATGGAAGGGAGGGAAAGAAGAAGGGGTAGTGGGAGAGGGGAAAAGATGGATGTGAGACACATCTATTGGTTGCCTCTCTCATGTGACCCCACCGGGGCCGGTGATTGAACCTGCAACCCAGGGATGTGCACTTGATAAGAATCCAAACCCGTGACCCTTAGGTATAAAGGCCAACACTCTAACCACTGAGTCACACCAGCCAGGGAATGCAACTGGCCATTTTTCACTCCATAACACAGTAACTTTTTTTAGGATAACTACCTTGAACAGTAGATTCCACTAAAAAGTTGTGCTATAATTTATATATCAAATTTCCTCTTGTTAAACATTTCAGTTGTTTCCAGTGCTTTTTGAGTATCATTAGAAATGCATAGTTCTTTGTGCATTTGATTACTGTGTGTTTTAAAAATAAATTAAAGCCCTAGCTAGTTACAGCCTCGGATAGCAGACTGAAGGATCCTGGGTTTGATTCTAGTCAAGGGCACATACCTCGGTCTCAAGTTTGATCCTCAGCCCTGGATCAGGGAGTGTGCAGGAGGCAACCAACTGATGTGTCTCTCTTACATGGATGTTTCTCTCTTTCTGTCTCTCCTCCTCCTTTCTACTCTCCCTCCCACCCCACCCCCCAAAAAAAAATGAAAAAAATATCCCTCAGTGAGGATTAACAAAAAATAAATTATTTATTTATTTATTTTTTAATTAAGTAGAATTGTTCAAAGGATATGACTGTCTAGAAGGCTTCTGAGAGACAGTCCCCTACAAGAGCTTTACCAATATAAACTTCCAGCAGCAATAAATGACAATGTCCATTTCCCCTACATGTTACACTACATTATCCATTCTTTTTCATCTTTTTAAGTCTACTTAGCTATTTTACCACCTCTTTGATTTCTTGAAGATGAACATTATTTCATGTGAAATAATCATTTAAAGTTCTGATATAAATCAAGCAATTTTTATAAACTGGGTGTCATCTAAGGATATCAATCCTCCCCTAGTTTGTTGATACTTACATTTTACACATGGCATTTTATTTGATATAGGAAAGTTTAAATATATTTATGCAAATTCATTTACTTAATCAATTAATTATTTAGTGTCTATAATGATACTGACACAGTGATGAATACGACCACATCCCTGCTTTCACAAAAGCTTACATTCAACTAGAATCAATCAAGTTTTCCACATTTAAAATCTTGCTGGAACTTAAAGATGGTGGTGGACTGAGTGGAAGCTACATTGACACTCTCCCAGGAACAACCTGGAATTACAACTAAAATATAGAAAACCATCCTGAATAATCAACTGCAACTAAAGACTGGCTGTAGAACACCCTCATAACCAAGGAGGAAAAGGGGAGACCACATAGAGAGGTGTAGGAAGTGCAGAGAAATGAGAGGGCTGGCTGGGCTCCCACAGGCAGCAGCTGAAGGTCTGAGGGATATCTCAGCTGTGGGGGGTTCCCACTGAGGACTCTGGGGCCTAAACCCCAGGCTGGGCTTCCCAGCCAAGAGCACAGAACTGAGAAAGGTGCCCACATAACATCTGGCTATGAAAAGCAGCAGGGCTTCTGTCTGCCAAGGAGAAACGCCTGGAAATGCAGGCACCCGCTTAAAGAGCCAACACACAGAGCTTTGTGTGTAGCCACTCACCTTGGGCTCCAGCAGAGGGAGGGCAGAGTGGACTAGAGCTGTGTGAGGAGAACCTAGGGCTGTGGGCCCTGGACATGGAGCTCAAAGGGAAGCATCTGAATTCCTGTGCCAAGTCATTCCCCTATACTGCAGAGGACATCTTTCTTAGGCAGACATTTTGCTGCTTTCGCCTGAAGGGAAGCAATTGCTCCATCCTGCTGGAAAACCTCTCGCCATACCCAGTGGAGTTTCTACAGCCTGAGGATCATTAAGAGACTGATAACAACCAGCTGCCACACCCTGTGGAGTTTCTACACCCTGAGGCTCATTAAGAGAATCAGATTTATTAGCCTGCAGGTGGAGGCAGACCTCAGAGTGCTTTAAGTCTTTGCCTGATTTGCTTCTGGACCCGGACATTGGAAAAGCACACTTTGGTGTGCATCTTGGTCCTATCCAACTGCACCCAGCCCCAGCAGAGGAGACCTCAAGCCAAGGATTGTTGATAACTCCAGAAAGGGTACTCAGGGCCAGTCACAAATTGCATCTGACATAGGCCTGTACCAGAGGCTGTCCAAAAAGACTGAGAGTCCTAGCAGGCCTACCTAATACACAGAAACAAACTCAAAGAGGCAGCCAAAATGGGGAGACCAAAAAACAAGCCCCAAATGAAAGAACAAGAAAAGTCTCCAGAAAAAGTTAAATGAAATAGAGATAAGCAATCTATTAGATATAGAGTTCAGAATTCTGATTGTAAGGATGCTCAACAGCATTAAGAAAGATATGGAGACTATGAAGGAAATTAGGTTATGACATAGCAGAAATAAAGAATACACTGGAAGGAATAAACAGCAGATTAGGGGAAGCTGAGGATCAAATCAGCGAAAGAGAAGACAAGGTAGAAAAAAATTACTCAATCAGAGATCCAAAAAGAAAAAACAATTAAACAGGACAGTTTAAGAGAGCTGTGGGACAACATGAAACAACAATATTCATATCATAGCATCACCAGAAGGTGAACAAAGTGACCAAGGGATAAAGAACCTGTCTGAAGAAATAATGGCAGAAAACTTCCCTAACCTGGTGAAGGAGAAAGTCACACAAGTTCAGGAGACACAGAGAGTCCCAAGCAAGGAGAATTCAAAGAGGCCCACACTCAGACACATCATAATTAAAATTCCAAGAATTCAAGACAAAGAGAGAATATTAAAGGCAGCTAGAGAAAAGCAATCTGTTACCTACAAAGGAGCTCCCATAGGTTGTGAGCTGACTTCTCATCAGAAACTCTACAGGCCAGAAGGGAATGGCATGAAGTATTCAAGGTAATGCAAGACAAGGATCTGAAACCAAGACTACTCTATCCAGCAAGGCTATCATTCAAAATAGATGGTGAAATAAAGAGCTTTCCAGACAAAAAAAGGCTAAAGGAGTTTATCACCATCAAACCAGCATTGCAGGAAATGTTAAAGGAACTGCTGTAGTTAGTAGAAATATATAGAAAGAGAAACATAGGCATAGAGAATTAAAATGGCAATAGATAAGTATCAATAACAGCCTTAAATGTAAAATAAGTCTCTAAAAGCTCAAGAAGACTGAAATCTTATCAAGCATCTCAGATCACTATGGCATGAAATTAGAAATCAACTACAGTAAAAATACTCAAAAACATTCAAACACATGGAGGCTAAATAGCACGTGATTAAATAATGAATGAGTTACCAATAAGGTCAAGAAAGAAATCAAAAACTTCCGGGAGACAAGTGAAAATGAACACACAACAACCCAAAACCTATGGGAAACAGAGAAAGCAGTCCTGAGAGGGAAGTTCATAGCACTACCTCAAAAAGCAAGAAATATTTTTAGTAAACTAACCCTACAACTTAAAGAATTAGAAAGCTCCCCTGTGAAGCCATCCAGACTGGGTTTCTGGGAGTTTTTTTTTAATTACTATTTCAATTTCATCAGTTGTTATTAGCCTTTTAAGGTTGTCTGATTCTTTCTGATTCAGTTTTATATGATCTCACTCAAATGTGGAATCTAATAAACAAAATAGACTTAGGAACAAAATAGATCCAGAGACACAGAAGCATGAAACAGACTGAGGAATCTCAGTGGGAAGGTGGAAGTGGGGAAGTGGGTGGGGAGAGATTAATCAGAGAACTTATATGAATATATGCATAATCCATGGACTCAGACAATAGTGTGGTGAAGGCCT